GCTCGTAGCTTGTATGTATAATAGGTGTTTCGTCCTGCGATATGATTGGACCACGGTGGTCGAGTGAGGGCTACAGAACGCCCCACCACGTACATTTATTTTTTGTCTTGGGCGAACCCTGCGGCTGGTGTCCCTCTGCGGGGAACGAACGTAACAGAAAATGTAAACCAGCAGGTTATTGTGTGGGATGGGGTCCAAGGTCTTACCATGCTTTGACCATATTAACTCTCAAGTATCATGTTTTTGCATGTGCGTTGTGGTGTGTTTTGTATACAAGCGAGTTCGGTTTATTCGCTCGAACCATTCCGACACATTTCTTTTTCCCCTTCAAGGTTGGGGTGAGAGTTGGGGCGTGACCGAGGGCGTCGAAGACGCGACGACGTTAACCGCGGCGACGGCTACCGGTGGCCACACCCCTAAGGACGAGATGAGCCCAAGCTTTACGGCCGAAAGGGAAGAAGAAGTTGATGCTGCTGCTGCTGCTGCTGCTGCTGCTGCTGCTGCTGCTGCAGCAAGTCCCGCGAACACGTCGCAAGCAGCAGGTCCCGTAGACTCCTCGCTCGCTGATGACTTGAACTCTACACCACCGGCAGCCGGAGCGGCGGCGTACGACGCAACGAATACGGTTGCCCCTGGGGACGACCGGCCCGCCGCAGAGCCGGACCCTGCTGCCGTAGTCCTGACGGACGGAATACTGCTCATGTGGAAGTCGCTATCGAGGGCCCACGTCGCGACGGCCGTGCTGTGGCGCCCCTCCCGGGAGGCGAAGGGCGAGGACGCCCACAGCGAGAGGCACTTCCGCACGGCGGAGCAGCGGCTGAGGCCGCCCCGCTGGTCCGAGATCAACGTGCGGGTGTACGAGGACATTTTTGTCTGGAGGGACAGGACCGCCCGCAGGCTGGACGACGGGGTGGCCTACGTCTGCCCCGGGGACACCCTGATCGAGGTGGCCCTGGCGATGCCGACGACGGTGGACGGCCTTCGGCGGGTGGCGGTTCCCCTGTCGCCGGTGCTCGGGAACGGCGATACCCCGGAGGCCGCCGAGCTTGTCCGGGTGGTGAGGGTTGCGCTTGGCCTGACTGGTGAGGACGATCGTGGACGGGGGGCGCTTGTGGTGCCTGTGGAGGAAGAGCCTGAGGAGGAGGCGCTTGGACCGCCTGCTGAGGACGATCGTGGGCGGGGGGCGCTCGGATTGCCTGTTGAAGAGGAGCGTGAGTGGGGGGTGCTTGGAATGCCTGCTGACAACGAGCGTGTGGTGGGGGCGCTTGGACTGCCTGCTGAGGAGCATAGAGCGAGGGGGTGGAGAATAGGCGGCCGCTGGGGCAGTAGGCGAGATGGGGTGGTTTACTCGAAGACGGTGGTGGCGCTGGCCGCGGCCACGGCTGCGACTGCGGGAGTCATCGTCGCCGTTTGGAAACGTAGGAAAGCCTAACCGCGGGTAGTTTTGACCTTGAAGGGTGTTTCTGAGGAGAGGCGTCGACAGGCAGGCAGGGCACATGTCGGCGGTCTACCACAATAAGCCCGCGCGTGTTACTCTCACGGTGCCACGCAATGGGATTCTGCCGCGTAGCAACGCGAAGCACGGATTGAGCACTCTGTTATCTTCTGTCACTTCCAGGCAGGTGGCAGCGTTTCTTTTTTGTGTTTCCGCTCAGTTGCGTATTTTGTCGACGGCCGGTGGGCATTTTATCCACCCGTACAGAGGGTGGGCGGAATTTTGCGAGAGGACCTCTGATGACCATGTACGCGGAAGCGAACCCTGAAAATTGCATGGCAGAGAGGTCATTTATGGAGGATACCAGGATTTTTTTTGTGAACAATGGAGATTTGGCTGGATAGTAGGGGGTCTCACTTACCTTCTACGACATTCACCAACATGTACAGTTTGGGAGTCTTGCACCTCCATATGCAAATTTTACATCCCCAGGCTAAGACACCTTAACTGCAGAGACCATCTGTGTCTGCGCCCTCTAGCGAGCAAGGAGTGTGGCATGAAGTCGTGGTGGCGAAATTGTAGCCGGAGTTGCTGGGTCGAATACCACGAACAAAGCACGTTGGAAACATACGGGAAGGTACAATTGGAAGGAGAGGATGCGAATGAATGCTCTTCTTTTTGAATTATGCCAGTCTACCACTCGGTCGAGGAGCAAGTGGATTCGTCCCACACCCATCGACGGTGTTGTAGAGAGACAGAATGCGCAGAGCTGCCGATTGTACCCATTTACGTGATTTTGTCATTGGCACCTACTGGCATCACTGATAAAAAGTAAAGTGTATGAACCCTAAATAGCCCAATCCATCCGGTTTTCTTCCCACTCACTGCTGTAAAGACTAAGACTTCAACACATCCCTTTCGACTGTGGTATTATCTCGAACGGGTAGTCTTTCTGTGAGGTTATGTATACTTTCTATCAATTTTCAGGCAGTTTTCCTCGATCGTTTACCGCTGATGCTGCTGTTGAGGATGGAACCCAAGCGCAGCCGTGACCGTCCGTTTGTTGCTACTCGTGATTGATGCTCTGAATTTGTCGGTCGATGACAAAAGAGGGTCGGTCTCGATGATCGATGGACGTCTTCACGCTGACAGACTCTGGCGAATAGTGTCGTCGCGGGTGCAGGCAAGAAGAGCACGCATGCAGCTCAGAGCTGACAGACATACTGCACTGCTCCCCAAACCAGCCCCACAGCCCACAGCCCCTGCCCAAACCCCCAAACATGCGACAAAGCGGCATAAAATCAAAGATATCCCAGCTGCGTGCCCCCCCCCCCCCCTCCCGCCCGTTCCCTCTGCCCCCTTCCCGCCGAGTGTTTGTGGCGGGCTTGGGGCACATCTTCTGCGATACGCTGCTGCTGTCGGCGTGCCCTGGTATCCCAGATCGCTTGGACGCCTGAGTGTGTTACTGGATCAATAATTCCGCTGGTTCAGCGTGCCCTGGCCAGGTTGACGCAACAACCAAGCAGCTACAAACAATACCTGCAGCGTCCCACTACAACAACAACAGCAGTCTACGACTTTTCATCGCACCTTGCGTCCTTCTTGCCGCAGGAGGAGGAGCAACGGCCAGGCACCAACAAGAGCACGGGGCCCAGCACGCTCCAGGCTGCCACAGCCCGAAGCCCTCATCTTGGTGGCGAGGATTCCGGTCCGCCACCGCTGCGGTCAGGCGACGATCCTGCAGCAGAAGAAGCACCCAATAGAGCGAGAGAGATTGTCATGGATCCAACCCTACCAAGGCTACTCCCTAGGACAGCGCCGCACGCGCCGGATCACAACGCAGCACAGCAATCGACGCGGAACCGGCTGTCGAAAGGCTCAGGGATCACGAGCCAGCATATCCGGTGGGTGACGGAGCTGAGGTCGGCGAGGGGGCGGTGGTCGAGCGAGGTGCAAGGCCCATGGACGCAGACGGAGGACGCCTACTTCGAGTTCGTCTATGAGCTGTTTCGCGAGGGATTGCTCGAGGGCATCGAGGTCGGCCTACCACTCCGCTTCTTCATGTCGGAGCTTCTTGGGTGGGTTGAGAAGCTGCTTGCAGATCTACCGCCGCATGGTGTTCGGCCTAGCGAACCTGCCGGACGGCAGTAGCAGTGATGCGAAGATTAGTCGTGTCCGACGCGCGGGTTGATTTCAGACGATACACTCTGTCCAGATCCTATGAGAACATCAAATAAATCATGATCCGATTCAAACTTTCCGCGCCTCCGCCCCTCACTGTCAGTACTGTACCGGGTGCATCAGTACTCCCATCGTGATGCTTTCCTTTCCCCTGTGCACATCCTGCCCGCCTTTCTTCAAACACCGTCCCATGTGGTCCAGTGGGTACAAACCTCCATGTGAACCTACTACACGGTACTGGCACCAGCACAGCAGCAGTAGGTAATGTAGAAGTATGTACGATGCGTTATACCCCTTTGGACGCATATCCAGAGCTCGATCTCTCCACAGCAGAAAGAGGGGAGGTGCCGAAAACTCAGGCGTTGGAGCCGTCTCGTCCAGAGCTTCCCGAAAACGCATAAATTTCATTGATGCATTCTCTTCGTCGTGGTGCAGTCGAGCTTCGAAAACTTGCTACAGAGGGTGCGTACGTAGGAGTGTCATTACGGTAGTCATCTACTGCTGTAGCAGGTTGCGGGTTCGAACCTCTCCCGTGAGTGAACGATTGGCAATTCTGCGGTGGAAAACGATTAATTTGTGAGTACATACCCACACCAGCAAGGGACTGGTGAATGCTGAACCCTCGCTCCTCGCAGTAAAAAATCGGAAGGCGAGCACCGCAGGAGGTGTGACAAACACAGAACGATGAGAAAGGTCCCTGTGTTACCTTGCTCCTGTCTGTGCGGTTGACCCCGGCTGATAAGTCCAATAAATACGGAGAGACGCAGACTGGCACCAGAACAGACGGGACAAAAACGCATACCAAAACACATGCACCTTGCCATGCAGGACGCATCTCCCCATGGTAGTAAATACCTTCTACTGGGTAGAGTATCTGGAGGTCTTGTCCCTATTCAGGGATGTTTCTGTGGTGCAGTTCGTCATTTTAGTATCCATAGTGCTTGACCTCCTGATTTTTCGGACAAGAACGACGAAATGTGACGAGTAGCAGCTACCGTAGTTTATCCTTACAACGACACCAACCCTTCCCCGTGTGGTACACTTTTGCTACCGGCGAGGGGGGTTCAAGCAGCGTCCCTTGGTCTTAAAAACACTCATGGTTTCAACGTTGCTTTGAGCCATGAGAAATGTAACCGTGAGGTGCAACGAACGTCACCCTATTGGCACCCTCGTGTATCCACGGCCCCACAGCCTTGACCTCGATTCAAGAAGAATACGCCCTCAACAGATCGTTCCCTTTCTCCGTGTTTTCCCTCCTCATGAACACGGCAGTAGGTGTAAACCTTATTATCGCACGCGCTGCGTCTGTGGTACGGGGAGATGCAGACGGCGACAGGCAGATAATCGGCACACGACTTAGCGCGGACAACGAGAACATTGGTACACTGAGGCGGTGACGCTCCGAATTTCTGGCCTATGATTATATTGCATGCTCCCGTCATGAAAACGAGCGGTCGCCGACCAGGATGCCGGGCACGAGGCCGCTCGACCCACACACCGTTGCCCACACCCTCCCTATCGCCTTATATCCGCCAGCGCAACACACATGACCCGCTCCTTGCGTGCCTTCCGCCCGCCCCCGCCCCCCCTCAAATATTTCTCCAACAGGTGCGAGGTGAAGCGCGTGGACCAGAGACTCCTGGCCACGAGGCGGTCCCCGGAGCTCGGCTGCCCGAAGTACTCGACGCGCCGGCTGACGGGCTTCGAGCAGCAGTCCCTCACCGCAAAGCTCATCAAGTTGGAACAGGCGTTCCTCGCCAGGGAGCGCAACCCCCTCAACGAGCGCGTAGTCTTCGAGGCGTCGGAGGAGGCCCGGCGAAGGGGCTCCGCGCGAGCGTCGGATGCACGGGCCCCCCCCGGGACCGCCGCGCGGGCCGCGTACGTGGATCCACGGACCCCCTTATCGGCGTCACTACCGGCGGCGGCATCGGGGAA